AAAACTTTCCCCAAAATGCCCTCAAGCAACCGGTCACTCTATCAAGCCGGTTATTGGAGAGTGAACAGTAGTTCTGTAGGCATTAAATGTTGATTAGAAAATAAATTTGGAGGGGAAAACCTAGACCTGTCCATCCGGGCCGGGCAAAACCGGAGCCCGGGCCCGAACCCGGGCCTAACCGGGCCGGGCTCCGGGCCGGCCCGGTTTTTTTAATTTTTTTTTTCCCTTTTTTTGATAAAAAAATGTTAAAAATAGTTTAAAATTATTATATTTTATATAATTATGTATTAGTATATACTTACAAATTATTACGTAACTATATATTATATATACATATATTATATATAAATATATTGTATATATTTATAAGTTATAACTTGAGAGAGAGAGAATCACATAAGTAGTCATTGCCCGTTGGGCCAATAGGGAAGAAGTAGCCGTTGTAATATATTATACTTATATATACTTATATACTAAGAGAGAGTATACACACACACACGCATATTATACATATATAAGAGAGAGTATACTTATATAAGAGGGAGTATACATATATAAGAGAGAGTATACTTATATATACATATATACTAAGAGAGTGAGAGTATATATATATACACACATATATTATACATATATAAGAGAGTGTATACTTATATAAGAGAGTATACATATATAAGAGAGAGTATACTTATATATACATATATACTAAGAGAGAGTATACACACACACACACACACATATTATACATATATAAGAGAGAGTATACTTATATAAGAGGGAGTATACATATATAAGAGAGAGTATACTTATATATACATATATACTAGGAGAGAGAGTATATATATATATACACACATATATTATACATATATAAGAGAGTGTATACTTATATATACTTATATAAGAGAGAGTATACTTATATATACATATATACTATAAGAAAGAGTATATGTATACATACATACATGATACATATATAAGAGAGAGTATTCTTATATATACTTATATAAGAGAAAGTATACTTATATATACTTATACATATATATACTTATATATACTTATATACTAAGAGAGAGTATATATATACACACATATTATACATATAACATATATAGAAATATATTATATAAGAGAGAGTATACATATATAAGAGAGAGTATACTTATATAAG